ATTTTAGTTGAAAATACCAATAAAAGGGATATTATTCTGGTTTTTAAAGATACCTCCTAGCCACCGGTAAGAAGATGAAGTATGGTCACGACATAGGAGCGAACAATCCTTTGACTGCCATCCTACAAAGTTCCACCCTTGGCCAAAGAAGATGAGGCAGACAGGATGAACCCTAACCGGAATATATGGAAGGAGCTGATCAGGTGCCAAGCTTCGCAGCGACCCAACGACCACACCTGGTCACAGTAGCGATGATGGTGATGATGATGATGATGATGATGGTGGTGATATCGCAGATCCGGAAATGCCTCTCTGTGTTGCAATTATATATTCACCGGTCTTAAAAAAAAACGTTTCAACAGCAAACTCATAGCGTTCGACCGTCCAAGACATGATGGCAACTGATGATATCTGAAAAGAATGGTAATACATTAGTTACAGGAATACACGATTGTCACTTGGCTAGGTTTCCTAGCACCACACAGGTAACAGTTTAAAATGTGGGAGGAATTTCTGCCGGCCACGAAACGAATATAAAATATTTGTTTCCTAAGAAGTTAAATTCGAATATAAATTATTCGTTTCCTAAGAAGTTGGGAAGAAAAAAATATTCTTTAAAACTAAAAAACTTTAAGGGATGAAAATATCTGCGCCTGTTCAAGCCAGAATGGCAACTGATGGTATCTGAAAAGAATGGTAATAGTTACAAAAACTCAGTTTTTTTTATTCTCTGGAAACTTGATTTAAATGGGTGCTACTTTAAGTTCCAACGAAGCCTTACATTTATTTCTTATTTCCGATTCGTGCTGCTTACTGTTGGCGTAGATTAAGCGGCCTAAGTTGGCTGGTGGGTGATTTGCTTAGCGGCATATCAACACCTATATGGGTTATTTAATGCTGAAATCTAAATATTTTGAGGGCAATCGTATGCCTTCAACTAGAGATAAAATGCAGTGGTGGCCATTTTGCTAAAAATAGATATTGTTATATATATATATATATATATATATATATATATAATTGTATTGTTGGTGTTTTTATTATAAAAATTTCAGTGTTTTGTTTGGGTACTTAAGTGGGGGATTCACTATTTGCCCATAGCTGGGGACCCTAACAAGTGGTACCACCCCGGGTTGTTAAGGGTTGTTTCCACGCTTCTCAAAATCTCCAATCTCCCCACCAGATGTCTTTCGGTATCTAGCCACCCCACCACGAGGGTTGCATGTGGCACAAGGCCGAGTTTTTACGTGGGTTTCCCGAGCCCGTAGGCTCGGCCAAAAAATGCCCGTATAAACGAGATCGGGTTGGTCATTTCTCCCCGAACGAGATTCTGCCCTTCGACGGAGCCTCGTCCGGGTTCCTTTCTGCTCAGAGGCAAAAAGTTCGACCGTCTTTCTGCTGCATGTAGTTAATCGTCAGACCCAGGACTAACAGCCTGTAGCGATAGAAAGCAAGTGAAATTAAAATAAAAAAAAAGAGTAAGCGGACTAAAAATAGTGATTGAAACATAATCAGCCTTCGAAAAACCGGGTTACCCAGTCAGGATAAATTCTACTATCGTCTGTATTTACTAATTACAGATTAGTCTGAAAAAAAAAAAAAACACAAAATGTGCGACGCCTCGGGACGATTACAGTATTAGTGATCAAGATTGACTTAGTGCATGTAATGTAATTTAAAAAAGTACTAATTCAGGTGTATCTATAAAGTAGTAATATTTCGCTTCGAAAACGTATGTAGTTTTAAAATGAATTACTGACGGGTGCCTTTTTAACATTTCTTTCCCATAAAAATATTGGAATTTATTCAGTCCGATTGCCAAACGCCCAGTCGATTTTTGTACTTAGCCTTCATTTAACTAGCGGTTAATCCAGTATAATCTCCAGGCAATTAATGATCGGATTACCTGTTTGGTTTTTATAAACGAGAGAGCGAGGTTTGATTTGAGGGTCAAGGGGAATTTTACGACGCTGGCTTGTCTCGCTATAATTTTCAAAGTGCGAGTTGATTATTTGAATGGAAGCATAAAATGTCTTCCATTTATTTTAGCCTTAATTCTCTCTCATTTTTTTTTTTCATTAGGCATGAACTTCAACTTGTGTGACTATCCCTCTTCTAGAGAAAGAGTGCCATTTTTTTTCGTTTGTCTTCGCAAATGTCTTCTCATTACTTAAGCCTTAATTCTTTCTCATTTTTTTCATTGGACAAGGAGTGACTATCACTCTTCTAGAGAAAGAGTGCGAATGTCTTGCGTTTCTCTTCGCAAGTGTCTTCCTTTTCCTTTAGCCACACGTGATACACGCTTGGGCTTATCATGTATCGAAAAATTCATGACTGACTAGGTAGAAAATTTTTCCAGCAGTAGTTTGCCATCCATGGCTAAAGAACCCATTCTCTTCTGCTATTTATAGCTGGGGGGTGGGGAGGGAAGAGTTTGCTTCATACCTTTCCAAAGTTGTTTATGCGTGAGTGAATCTAACGAATTCGACTTGGATCGAACTCGGTTTTCGGAGTTTTTATTCCGAGCCGATACCCATTCAAGAAACAGGGGGGGGATAAAAGAATGGTATCCAACGAGTTCGAAGATTACGATTGATCTTGCATTTAAAGTTTTGAAGATCATAGATGATTCGAAGGCAGAAAGTTCCACAAGCAAAAAGTGCCGGAAAAAAAATAAACTATTAATAGATCCAGTGGCAGCAAACAAGGCGAGCAGTAACTGAGCTATTCTAAAAACAAATTCAAACCGAGTTATCCGTAAACGGCAGAACAAAAATATTCTACCCCGTATATTAAATAATTTTTTTTTTAAATAAAATTCGCTGACGGGCACCTGGATCGGATGACATCTGACGAAGACCAGAGACAGATGATTCATTTTTTAC